TTTAAATCAATAAATCTTCAAAACTACTGAACTGACTAATTTTATATCGTTATAAAGGAAATTGAAAGATCTTTAAAATAAGGTATCACTCGACCCCCCTTTCAGTTTAAGATTTTGGGGGTGGTGTTACCCCCGCTTAGGGGGCTGCACGTGTTAACGTGGTTTTTTGCCAAACTTATGTCCCCTTCGAAAACAAAATCGACTGGTCTGAGCGTTTTTCAAAAAAATAACTGAGCTGCCAGTAAATGCGTCTGTTTCGTTTTCGATGCGCCACCCTGTATAACTGAGAGGCGGTGGAAATAAAATTACTGCATCACTCAACGATTCCTCATTGTGCGGAGCGGATGAAAATTGTAGATTTAAATCTGTATGCGGTAAATGGTTGTACTCTTACTAAGAAGCTGCTGATCATGATATACACAAACAGAATAAGTCACACATATTTTTCGTACGTTTGCCAGGGTAACAGAAACATGAAGTTTGCTTGATGTTGTTTGGTATCCATATCTGATTTAACCTATCTAATCAAGATTTCTTTTCTTTAAAACCTCTAACGAAGATGTAGGAAGCATAGAGTCAGTCTGCGTGACGTCATTGTTATTACATAAAATGAAAGCAACTGAAGCTCTTAGACAATGTTTTTCTTTTATGTTGATACAAAATCCTCTGCCCTGACTATATTATATAGAACAATGCCACTCGAATTTGAGGACCTCACACTGAGTCTAATCGTTTTTTACTTTAGTCTGTGTATGATAAAAATGATATCAACAAAAGCTATTTTTGAATGTTATATTGTTTGAGCTTAAAATTATATTTTTTGAGTTTTCATACGAGTTTTCACACAGACGATTATAACTCGTCCCGTGCTATTCCCTATTCTCTGTAAGATAAGATTAAAAGGCCCTTTTCTTATGAAAGCCATTTTCTTATGTCCAACATCACGAAATCGTTTCTTTCCTTAAAAAGGTTGTAGAAAATTAGCATTAATACCGAAGGAAGAGACCAAGTCTCCAAGTAACAGCCACTATGTTAAAACCTCATCAAAACTTGGTGTCATTCAAAACGTTTTACAAGGAAAACCGATTTCCGACGGCGCCCTTATCTTTATTCAATAACCGATAAAACAGTACTGAAAGAGAATTTTTTATCCCGAGCTCGGATCATTTTAGCGATGTCAAGCACGAGTCATTTATAGAACATCACTTTTAGGTTATTATTACACTGCGAATCTCAGCAAACTGAGTATTCTATAGAGATCTAATACTGCATGTATTATTATGTTCAAAATATAGAAATATGTCATTCAAAAGTTCCACTCTCCCTGCAGACATTCGTCAGAAAATTTCTGACAAAAGAGCTGCAATTAAGCAAGCGAAGAGGTCTCGTCACCCAGATGACATTCACAGAGCAACTAATCTTGTTCATGAAGTGAGAAATGCTCTTCATGAATTCCGTAATGAGCAATGGAGCGACTTTCTGTCGGGGATACTTGACTCAAGTATTGCTCTCTGGAAAGGTGCAAAGTCGCTCAGAAACGGAAAGCGAGAACAACTCCCGCACATCCACGGTCCTAGGGGCTTAGTCTGTAGGACGGAGGAAAAGGTCGAGGTTTTCGCTGATGCAATGGAAAGTCAGTTCTCTCCCAACTATGACCTTGACAATGACCTCGACAAGGAGCGACATATTGTAAGATCCGTCAGGAGATATTTTAGGGCCAACGGCGTCAGTGGCAGTAGTGCCTCCCTTAGTGATTTTTCCTCAGAGGAATCTTCAGAAGATTCCTCAATCGAAGAGCTGCACGGCACATCAGCGGAATCTCCTGAGACTCCGCATTGCACACCAGCAGAGCTCCAAGGTCATATTAAAGACCTCAAGGTGCGTAAAGCACCTGGAGAGGATCGAATCACTAATAAGGCGCTGAAGCTACTTTCACGGAAGTTCTTAACTTATCTCGTGGCAATAATCAATGCCATGCTAAGGACCCAGCACTTCCCAACGGCGTGGAAGACCGCTGATGTCATAATGATTCCAAAGAAGGTGGGTTCGATATTCCCCCAGGATTACCGCCCCATTAGTCTACCGTCAGCTCCTTCTAAAGTCGCTGAAAAGGTGATTCTACGTCACCTTGAAAATTTCTCGGCAGACCACAATGTAATTCCTGACGTGCAATTTGGCTTTCGGTCTGAGCATAGTACGGAGCTACATGCCATAAGGCTTGTTGAACGAGTAACCAGGGGGTTCACCCTTAACGAAAGTACTGGCATCTTGCTACTGGATGTCTCAAAGGCATTTGACAAGGTGTGGCACAAGGGCCTTCTCTACAAATTGATCCATAAGGGCTTCCCCTTCTGGCTCCTAAAACTTTTGAAATCCTTTCTCGAGGGTAGGAAATTTTGGATCAAAATTAATAACGTTCTGCCGACAACACGGCCCATCAAAGCCGGTGTCCCTCAGGGTTCGGTTCTTGGACCAGTCCTTTATTCACTCTTTATTCATGACGTCCCTTGCCCCAGCAGCTGTGAAACCTATCTCTATGCTGATGACACTGCCCTGGTGGCCCAGTCGTGCTCTGGGGATCTAGTTCATGACAGGCTGCAAAGTGCAGTGGATGAGGTATTGGACAGGGCGAATCGGTGGTTGATCAATATTAATCATTCGAAAACGCAGGCAATCTATTGTACTAAAAAACGTAGCGGCGCCCCGTCTGAGGTTTCAGTGAATGGAGATCGGGTACCATAGGCAAGCTCTGCTAAGTATCTTGGTGTCACTCTTGGCACCTGGCAGAAGCACAATGAAGCGTTAAAAACTAAATTCCAAATCTCGTTTCGGCAACTCTACCCTATGCTATGTAGAACATCAAAATTAAGTTTGATCAACAAGGTTCGGCTATACAAGATGGTTATCAGACCAGCGATCACTTACGCAAGTGCGGCTTGGTGTTTTCTCGCCAAAACGCATTTGCGTAGCCTGCAGGTTTTGCAGAACAGAACCTTGCGTACAATCACTAGCGCCCCATGGTATGTTTCCAACGAGACCCTTCACAGAGACCTTGACATCCCTTAAATAAGGGACTACATCAGACAACAAGCGCAGCTACGTTACAGTCAAGCAGAATCGCATAACAACCCTTTGTTGCGCGAGTCAGTAGACTACACAGTCGAGCAAGTTCGCAAGCACACAAGGCCGCGACTCGCACTGCGAACAAAATTAAATCGTGCGACTTTAGGTCCAACCAAAATTATAATTTTTCTTCAACAACCAATTCCAAAATTAATTTTAGGATCAATTTAAAATTGCCAAATACTACCCCTCAAATTTTGCTTTGCTCTTCCTCCTTCCTTCCTTTCTTCTTCCCTTCTTTCTCCCTGACTTTGTTTGGTACCTGGGCAACCAGACTTGACAGACCTACTGACTTACAAGACTTCAACCAGGAGCAAAGGTCCTACGGACCGCTCTGACAGACAATGACGAATGGTGTCAGAAGTTCCACTAGAAAAAAGATGCAGAGCAGTTTTTTGAAGGACTGCATGTTTGTAGAGGTAGCAGAGTAATTTTCGAAGGGCTTGTCACGTAATATCTTTGCACTTCATGGATTCCAGAATGTGGCCTACAGTATAAGGAACTCTCAAAGTTGGGATTTTCCTTTACACATCGTATAGTAGTACAAAATTTTAGGTCTATTGTTAAGGTTAACTGGTTCAGAATTTATTCCAATATTAGTCTCACACATGCATACATCAAGTTAAATAAAATCTTGTAAAAAAGTGCCTCTAAATCAGAGTTCCACAAACTTTTTTGTGTCGTAGACCCCTTGCCATGTTTTTCCGTGTTGGGTAGACCCCCTATTTACATGATATTGATTTCCTTTAAATTTCTAATTGTAGAGAAGTTTAGTATTAAAAACTTAAAGTAAAAACACATGTTAATTTATACATTTATTAATTGAATTTAAATTAAAACTACTCAAAATAAAATTTTGTATCTGTAATGTAAAATATACGTAACATTAAATAAACAGGTGTCTGACCAATAAGTGCCCGCATTGGGAATAAGTGCTCGCATTGAAAAAAAAATAAGAGGGATAAAATAAAAAAATAGTGAAAAATATTAAAAAAAAGTGTTTTACTTAAAATAGTACAATAAGCGAGTTCGTTTATTAATTATAACCTAAAAGTATGTTCTGCAATAATTACACTGTTAGTTTGATTAAATTCCGCTTCTTATACGTTTAAGTTATCTAAAAATAGGCAAAAAATTAACGATTTTTAGTGTGTACCTATCCTTGAATTTTCAGAATAATTTAAAAAAAAAATATTTTCTATAAAGGGGGGTTCTTTAAAAAAATCAATGCGGGCACTTATTCCCAATGCGGGCATTTATTGGTCAGACACCAATAATCACAAAATAAACTATAAATAAAATAACATAAGCAATATTTTTAGTGAGAAGGATGAACCTGATGCTTTAATAATAAATTATCAACATTTGGCGTCAATTTTGTAAGGGTTAATCTTAAATCTCCTCGGCTAATGATGTCCAGTCTGTTTCTTTTTTTCGTTAGGAGATTGGTAACAGCGCTGAACCCCCTTTCCACTAGGTATGACGATGGAAAGGAAATTGAAAATTTCCTCGCTATATTCCATAATACGGGATAAGTAACGGGTATGTTGTTTTGCAGCCAGAATTGCTGATATCCGTTTTTAAACTGAACCTCAAGTTCTTCGTTTGTACTTAGTTCAGTCAGTTCCTCTTGTATTATGAAATTCGTTTCTTAATTATCCACGGTGGTATTACCATAGCCAAAATATCCTCAAACCTAGATTCAAAATCTGAATAGAGGGCATTTAAATGTTGAACGTAAGTTGAAACGTCGTCTTCCTGGCAGGTTTTCATAGTGCGTTGAAGACTTATTTTGCTAGCGAATGTGAAAAATGGATGAGAAACCACCCTGGCAGAGCTATAACTGCTTTTCAGATGACGCCTTTATTCACTCCAGCGTTTAATAAAGCAGCTACAGTTGGTTGTGCTGCTGAATGTTTCAAGGTGTCCGGAATCTACCCATACAATCCAGATATCTTCACAGATGCAGATTTTCTTCCTAGTGCTGTGACCTAAAGAGAAATGGATGATAACCAATGTTCAGAATCACAACAGGAGAATCCTCAAGAAGCAACACCCCATGAACAGAGAGAACCAGTTATGGATAATGAGCCTCGTGCTTCTGTTTTCAACAAGGAGCCAAAAAAACCATCAACTGCGAGGAACGCTTTTACAGCAATTGAGAATGTTTCTCTAGTAACAGAAGCTCCAGCCGAACCAGTTGTGAGTTCTGAGTCAGGGCAAAAGAAAAACTTCGACGGTCCTCCAGCTGAAAAAAATGGTGGTATCTTCCAAGTTCCTGCACAGGTACCATCTTGCAGCAATGAATCGGCCGCAATCAAATTGAAACTCCAAGATATTTGCCCTATACCAAAATCAGGTATAAGAAAGACCGCAAACAAGCGAAAACATAAGAAATCTGAAATACTTAGTGGTTCTTCATATAAAGAACAGCTATTAGTAGAGAATCAGTTGAAGAAAACTCCTGAGAAAAAAATGAAAAAAGTTTGCAGAAAGCCTTCTAAATATCCTAAAAAAAAAGAAATGGGCATGCGGTGGCTGCAATGAGGAGTATAAAGAGCCGATTACAGAGGATTGGATCTGATGTTCTGTTTGTTCTGAATGGTGGTATGAGAAATGTATGGCCTACGTAGGCATTGGACAGTTTAAGTGCGATTTATGCGCTTAAGATACCTTATTCTGTTTTAGTTCCTACTTTTAAGTTTTTGTTATCTATGCGCAATCTTAACGATCTGAATGCGCAATATCCAGGGACCCGTAGTGGTAAGACTGCGCATTTACATCTTTGTCTTTTTTTTTTAATTACTAACAAAATTGTTATCAGATGTTTGAATAAAACTTAAATTAACAAAGTACATTAATGTGAGCCTAAATAGAAATTAAGATTATTACAATAGGTTATTGATTCACGATTCTACGGCTTATCAAACCTTAAGTGCGCAGACTTGGGGCACCCTACCCTACTATCTGTTTATATTTTTTAAAATATTTTCTTAGCACTTTCCTTTTCAAGATTCAGGAAACGAATAAACGGATTTGTCCCACATTCGTATTTATAGAGTGACGAATTGAACAAGTCAGTGCAAGGTAGCGAAGCTCTGAGACTGCGACTCTCAGGTTTTTACAAGTTCAAAATGTATTACGACCACAAAGCGAATACCAACATCCTACAACTTACACAATTTTATAAACATATATAATAAATTTTTTACTTCATAGGTACTTTTATAAATAATGTATATGTTTTGATATTATAAGATAGTATGATGTAAGTAAATAGCTACTGTCAGTGTATGTGTTTAGATCCACTATCGTGGACCCCCATATTCATTTCATGGACCCCCAAATTTTTTTTCGCTGACGTAGACCCCTTGCTGGTTGTCATAGACCCCTAGGGGTCGATATAGACCACTTTGGGAATCAATGCTCTAAATAATCACCCACTATTGTTTAAAACGTCGCCACTTCCGAAATGAATAAAGATCTTGGATGAAACTCTACCACACTGCACTGGCGTGCCAAGTAATGAGAAAGCACAACAACTAGGGGCTAAGCGTCCGTGTACAGTGATGGACGTTATATACAATGCGTATATAATGTATACAATCGTGTAGACAATGCATAGAATAGTGAGGTTAGGTTTACTCGTAAACGTCAAAACATTAATCAGTCAAATGGGTGGATTTTGTTTCCAGAATGTCTTTTATTTTAGACATGTTTCCAATATATTTCAAACTATAACCTATATAAATAATAAATATCTATATTTATACAGAGTGTCCTCAAAGTTAGGACTTGAATGTACACGGCGTTTTTTCTAGTAATATATCCACCAAGGCCCTAAGATTGCAGATATATTAGACTCCGTAAAATAAATCAAACCTAAACAAACCCTAATCCGGTCCTGCACCTCGATCAGATCAAACGTGAGCACGTACGATGCGCGTAAGTACTCAGTCCAGGCCGCATTGGCAAACAGAATCTTTACACATCGGTTCTAAAAGAACAAAACAAAAATAGTATACTCATTCAGCAACATATTATTCTAATTTACGGTGAGCGACTTCGAAATGCTTCCGAGGCTTCGCGAGTGCATGCAGATCGTTTTTCAAGATAACACTGGACAACAAATTTTAGTTTTTTAATTGTATCTTGTGGGAAAAGTGCACTTCTTTGTTAATTTTGGGGCGCTGAATCCAAAAATGACAGTGAAATAAAAAAATTAGTTGCGGTTTAGAAAAAAACTTTTTATTTTTAAGGATATATTAAAAAAACTAACAAGATTCATATACTTATAAGAATCACTATATGCACTGTCTTTTTGCTGTTCTTTTATGGATCGTTTCTGGCGCATCTCTACCAAGAGTCCAACAGCAGTCTGCAAGCATGGAAGGATTCCACTTTCCCTGGTACCTTTTTTCGATTGTTGAAATATCCTGATGAAAACGTTCGCCGTGCTCATCACTTACGGCTCCGCAATTGTCAGGAAAAAAGTCCAGGTGTGAGTGTAGGAAATGTATCTTAAGAGACATATTACAGCCCATCTTTTGATACGATGACAGCATATTTTTGACAAGGGTTTTATAGTTCTCAGCTTTTCTATTTCCCAAGAAATTAGTGACCACCAGACGGAAATCATTCCAAGCAGTTTTTTCAATACCTGTTAAAGTGTTTTCAAACTGTGTATCTTTCAAAATATTTCGAATCTGTGGTCCAACAAAAATACCTTCTTTAACCTTTGCCTCAGTTAGTCTTGGAAATTTCTGACGCAGGTATTGAAAAGCTGACCCATCTCTATCTAATGCCTTGACAAAGTTTTTCATTAGGCCCAACTTGATATGCAGTGGTGGTAATAATTTTTTTTCGAATCTACTAATGGCATATGCTGTACATTTTTTTGACCTGGCTCTAGGAATTGACGAACAGGCCAGTTTTGTCTGGTGTAATGAAGTGCCTTTGCCCGACTGTCGCATTCACACAAAAAACAGTGTAGCTTAGCTGCAGCCCAAGTAAAAGTGCAAAAACTTTCAAATCGCCACAAATATGCCATTGGTGCTCATCGTATTTTATGCATGTGAATAGGTACTTCATATTGTCATATGATTCTTTCATGTGAACTGCATACCCTACAGGAAGAGATGGTAAAATATTTCCAATATGCAATAATACTGCCTTTAAACTCAATGTTGAACTGTCTATAAACAACCTCCATTCTTCTGGGTTATAGTTTATATTTAAAGCCGCCAGTAAGCCGTTAATGTTACTGCAGAAAACCAAGTTATTCTTCATATTGAAAAATGGTTCTAAGTCTTTATGGCGTTTACGAAAAACACATACCGAAACATCGTCTTCTAACAAGTTCCACTGCTGCAATCTTGATCCAAGTAACTCTGCCTTACATTTTGGAAGTTCTAAATCTCTGTTGTGTTATTTTGTGCGGTTGGTGGCATTACGTGCTCGGTATAAAATCAGGATCTCTTGACGTTGATGGCATATCTTCTTCCTGACGAATCACTCGATCGCCATGATCTGATTCGTTTTCTGATTCGCAAGTGTAGGATTCTGGGGGTTTTGGAATAGGATTTTCGTCACTGTAAGGCACAGGTCTCATCGCAGATGGTATGTTTGGGTAGTTAATAACCGATTTTTTTTTCTTGGACATACCTGTGGCTTGTCCAACACAAGGTACCATGCAAAAGTAATAATCATTGATATGATTTGTAGGCTCTCTCCAAACCATTGCGACAGCAAAGCGCATAGACCGTTTTTTGCCATTTAACCAGCTCCTCAGACTTGAAGCATATGTATTTCAGCAGATGTGGGGTGCCCACTGTTTGTCTTGATCACCTAGTTTACAACCGAAATAAAGCTGATATGCCTTTGTTATTAGTGGAGTAATAGACCGTCTCTGAGACGCAAAAGTCACATCACCACACACGTAACAAAACTGATCTGGATTGTTTACACACTTTCGAGACATCTTGCATGAACGCTGGCAGCCAACTGAGGAAAAAATGGCTAATATAAAACAATATAATGTACACGTATGTATAACGTAACACAATCATGACGATTACATCATCTTTCCTTGCCGAATATAAAAATGTAGCACGTGCATTCTTGTGAATTACTGTATATTAACACTGTCACAGTAGGAACACATATAATTACCGTATCTCTAAAACTTGAACTAATATTGAAAAAATAAGTTTCATTCCGGTTTTAGCACATTAAAAATAGTAATATTTTGTTGATTTTATTTAGGATATTTTTTGGCTGTTGATCAGTGTAATTCGTGATTTCTGTTTTGTTTGGGGGAAATGAAATGTTTAGTGTATAAAACTAAGGTGAACAAGGTTGGTGAACTACGTGTGCGAATTCACCAATCTGCTCATTCTAAAAGCCTAAAGTAACATGTGTTCTTGAATCTATCGTAGACAACTTTGAACAATACTTACATACTTGAAGTTTCTTTTTAATAAACTTTTTTATTTATTTTTATTGCTTCAACCACACATTAGCTTTGTTATTACAAATATAGTCTGCCGGGTAGAGGAAGAGTTCTCGGTGCATGTTCTGTGTCGCTGTGAGCCTCTGAGTTACTACAGGCAGACTATACTGGGATCCAACACTTTGGATTTCCAGAATGTTAAGGAGCCGCGTCTCAGGGCTATACTTCACTTTGCCAGAAGGGTGGAGCTTGATAATTGAGGAATGTTGGGGTCTATGCACCGGCTTTTCATGCTGGCCATGGTCAGTACGCCTCTAATTTCGTTATTCATTCATTCATACCCGATTCTAATATCATTTAGTCGGCGTCTAAACAAACATGAATACTCGATGGCTGATTATGTTCATTCGTGGGTGGCTGCTTGCTCAGACATTTATGGACCGTCGATACGAGTGCGAGGATTTGAAGATCTCGCGCTGGTGTTTGCTTTGGTTTTAATCCGCTATATCAAGCAGACTAAGAAACCAACCTATACATGAAAACGATAAACATGTATCATAGTCTTAAATCAAACATCCCCAGGAAGAGATAATGAGGATAAGATACTCAAATAATGATCGTGAAAGATAAATATATCAACGCGAAGCGGTATTTCGGTATGTTTTACAAGAAATTAAGCTCTGGTTTATTCGATGATTGTTTACGGACAGCCGTCACATTCCACTGAGTTTCCTTTTGATATGATTCATTGCAACCTGCGATGGAAATGAAAAAATACATAAATAGCAATTACTTCCCATATATTAACCATTCTGGTGATTACTCTCGTGAAGTGTACATGATTTTTCACAGGTATGTACCAGCGGATTATTATTAAAACGTATCCTTGTACAAGGTTAATAAGTTGGAAAGCAATCATTTTATCCAATAGACTAGTCGAGAAAAGTTATGCATACCTTGTATTCACGCTATTATTTCCCGCGCGAAGGAAGAAGTTCCCAATTTTTTAAAGTGAAGTACAACTCTGAAAACGTTCTTTGAATATCTTGAAAAAAGACAAAGTTACGGTACTGATAAGTTTCTTATGGTGCTGGAGCGTACGACTGTGTGATGACGTCATACTACACCAGCTACCATCGCCACGACAAAGCGATGCGCCCGCCGTGTTTACGATTTACGGCAAGAATGGGTAAAAAATGGGTCAGACCTTCGACTGAAATGTA